TGCAGCTCAGTTCTGATTGTCTCCTTACCGACAGCCACAGTTCCTCTATCAATCATATCCAGCCTTAAGTTTTCTTAACTTCTTTGTTTGCTTTTAGAAACAAGAATACCAAGCCGCCTCCTGTCACCGACAGTCAATTTTCTGGGCCTACCTGCGCCTCCCTGGTGCTCAATGCCATATCCATTTGCAATCTTTTTCAAAACAGGATAAACAGTGGACAAAGGGTTGCCTGTTCTACTTGAAATCACTTTAGCTGATCTGATGTCCTTGTTATAATACTCTAAAATCAACTTCCTCTTCTCTAAATCATCAATACTGAGGGTCACTGAAAAATGTGTCTGCTAGCAAGTAAACAAAGGGGAATAACTCCTCACAAACTAATGAAAAAGGATTAACGGAGTTGTCTCTCTTGAATGAAACCAAGCACTTGATAGCTGGTCAAGGTTGTTTATACTAGAAATCCAGTTAAACATATTCCTAAAATTCTAAATAATTCCTGGTCATACTATAATATCAAAGTTGACAAAACTATGCATTTTAGGCCTATATTTAATCATTTTCAATAAATTGGGGCATTTTGACTACCCCCTGGGGCAATTTGACCAAATTTGCTGGGGCAATTTGTAGCGGGGGCAATTCGACTGGCAATCGGACTTTAATCCCTGTTAGTAAGTTCTAACAGGGAATGATGGAGTATAAATGAATCTTGTGGGTACTTCTTCCTTTTTCAGCCTAGCTTTTGGATTTTTAAACCCCATGGGTACATGTCTCTTTTATATGCGTCCGACTCGGAGCATTTGTCCTGCCTAAATCTGTCTCTTTACTTGGAAAACGGAAGAAATGGGGGCTCTTTCCATTGTAAGATGATTCCGTGCATCCCCAGGTAACGGAGTACACGATTGTACCATTTACAAAAACGATAGAAACAACTTGATTTGTATTACTGTAGCGCTTGTTAATTTGCAATATGGCTGATGCTTGTCACATATGACGTCACGAGTTCCAGCGGAATATGCATAATGGCTGAAACTCACATAACAGAAAATGTATTCGCGATAAAAACATAATAAACCATATTTTTTAAATAAACATTGGGGTACATGTTTCTGACGACTTTATCTTTCACCCAGCAAATTATTGCAATTGTCTAGTATTCTCCTTTATGGTAAGGACTTTACCCAAACTGAGTCTATATCACTTATGCGCTGACTTATCTCGTAAGACAGGGGAACATGGATTCTCGGCCGGTGGCAATGGATCAGTTGCCGGGCGTCAATGAATCTGTGTGACAAGGGTGAGATTTCTTCAACGTCTGGCTGGCATAATGAGTTGCTGCGCTACGACTTGATGTATACCGGATACACCTTCAGTACCAATGTCTTGAAAATGGTGTCTGACTTCCAAAAGCAGCCATCTGGGATGGATGATATGTAGGGCGAGTGTCAAGGCCAGCGCTCAAACTTCATGTGGGTTCGATGCTCTCGGTGTCTCTAACCCTGCTGCTTTGTAGGCTCTTAGGATCACCACTCTGATCCAAAAGGAACCATAGTTCGCGAGACTTCTGCAGTCATAGTGGTTGAAAGCAGGATAAAGAGACACTTGAACTTCCTTCTTCTCACAGCTGATCTCTGCAAGTAAACCCTTAGGGCTCTGACCAGGCATAAGGACAGGTCTTGTGTGTCCTCTGGACCCAAGATGGTTGATAATGCCGGAACATGGAACTGACGATCTGGTTGCCCCGGCAGCTGGTTCTTGGCGATGAAATCCGATTTAAGGCCAAGATGGACTGCAGCCCTCTCTCCGGTGTTCAAACTTGTACAGCTTAAGTCAAGGGCGTGGATATCCGACATCTGAGCAGCAGTTGCTAAGTCGAGGAGGAGCGGCGTCTTTTGAGTTAGCAATTCAAATGTTGTCTGCGTCAACGGCTCATATACATCACCAATGAGATGCTGCAACACTATGTCGAGATCCCATGCTGGTTCTGAACTTCTGCTGTTGATATCTTCTAACTAATTCTGGGAACCCTTGGTCAGCTTCACCCCTGTCTTCATGGTGATGACTCAGCTGATCACCGCCAGGTAAGAAGACAGCGTAGACCCCTTCAGATGTCTAGTAGACCGCAGATGACACAGGTAGTCAGCTACTTGTGGGTGCATCACTTTTCTGGCCGTGAACCCCTGGCGAACAGCATACTGGTCGAAACTTCTCCACTTGTCGTCATACAGGTTACCTGTAGATCGACATAAAGCCAAAGTCACTGCCTTGCCTGCTGCTTGGTAGGAGGGTGGACGAACAGGGTGGCTCCAACTCAGGCCTCAGATGATGCATCAGCCAGCGTCCTGCATCAACAGGTTGATCGTACACTGCAACTGTTGTCTGAGTTGATCTGCTTCTGGATGTGCCTGGATACTGCCGTCTAGGTAGAATGCACTGCATAGACCCCTCTGATGTCGGCAATGCAGTAGCATTCGCAAATGCTAGGAGATATCAGATGACTGCTGCTGTAGATACGTATCAGCACTGCAAGTGTAGATCAGCCACTAGTATGATGTCATAAATGTTACACGTCTGCTCTGTGATGACAGGTTCGTACCGGCTGACAGTGTAAACTGACAAGTAGATACCAGTAGACCAGTAGTGCAGGCTCGAACCACCTCCCCGTAATGTTGTCTGCGAAGTCATCTGGGTTGGAAGATTCTGCCCTGGACGTCATACGTTGATGAGGGTCGCTGCCTGCAACAGCTTCATAGATGTCGGCGATGAGGTGGCATTCACAGACGCTAACAGGTTATCAGATGACTGCTGACGTAACTGTATATCAGATGAACACCTTGCGGGGTTCACACACCTCATGGATGACTGCCTCAAGGCCAGAAAACTGCTGACAGGAAGGTTCAGGCACCCTGACAATCAAGTCAATGATCTGCAAGGTGTAGACTGCCTGGACCATGTACTATGTACAATCGTCTACTTCAGCACCAGGCATCAGGTCGTCTACTTCAGCACCAATCATCAGGGTGTCTACTTCAGCATCAGACAACAGGCTGACCGCAATCACCGTAGAGTAGTAGTGGGACCTCATAGATCTCGCTGATCTGCAAAGTGTAGACTGCCTGGACCATGTACTATGTACAATCGACTGTTTCAGCACCAAGCATCACGTCATCTACTTCAGCACTGAGGCATCAGGGCCTCCTTTCACAAAGCACTAAGGTGATCGTAAGTCACTAAGGTAACCTTAGTGCAGTGTTAAAGAATAGGAGTTAAGGTTAACCTTAGTAAAGGTTGCTTCGTGAAAAGGGCCCCAGTCGTCTACTTCAGCACCAGACATCAGGCCAGACTGTAGAGTAGTAGAGGCACCTGCGCTGATCTAGCAGACTGCGACGATCTGGACGAAAATCTCGATGAAGAGGGCTTCTGCACAGAGGTAGACGACTTCTGCTTCTATACTGCTTCACTAAGATGGACAATCAAGTCAAGGATCTGCAATGTATAGACTGCCTGGACCATGTACTATGTACAATCGTCTACTTCAGCACCAGGCATCAGGTCGTCTACTTCAGCACCAATCATCAGGGTGTCTACTTCAGCATCAGACTGCTTCTCTAAGATGGAACCTGGAACAAAGACACTTATCTCCGTAGAGACAGGAGACACCACGGGAAGTGATTCCAACGACAACCCAGCGACAACACCTCTGCATCAGTGTAAATGAAAGAGTCTTCTTCAGCATGATGACTCTCCTTCATCGCCAGACCCGGATGTCTGCGCTGACAGCTGATGAGGCGGCGATGGACTGGTCTGCGCTGACACTCAGACTCGAACGGGATGTAAACATCTCACCGTCTGCAACGCTGCCATTGGATGTCATATGCTTCTCCAGGTCTAGTCTCTTCTCCATGGCCTGGAGCACCCGCCAAGTGATGACATCATCGAAGTCGTCTGAGTTGAAGGCCTTTGCGTTGGTCGACGGACGCTGCTGCGGGATGAGTGCCATGGACTCGTCTGCAGACATCGGTGCCGGGATAGCGTTCTCAAACCAGGCATTAGGAAGTCACTCAAAGATTGCTGCGTAGAGGGATGCAGCGATGACCTCGGAAAACTTCGATGAGTGCGACGATCAAGAAGACTGCCTGGACTGCCACGCTGATGAGGACGTCCAATGCTTCTTATGCTCAGATGAAGTCTCTGCAGAGGTTGACTTCCTCTTACTTCAGGTATCTGAAGAAACTTCCTTCAGACCGGGAGACGTCGACTGCTATGACATACAGGAAGGAAGGTACAGATACAGGAAGGCTGTCAGTAGCCGTAGACTGCCACAACTCACAACACCAGAGACTGCACCACCTTCCTCAACGCAGATTAGCTGGACCTGACAACAGGTTGTGTGATTTCTAAGTATCAAATTTTCCACTCACATGTAAAAATTTACAAGTCACTAATGTCAAATCAACCACAATATGAAGACATAAGTTTCTAAACATGTGATTATATACAATAATCAAACATCAAAATAGTAATCAAACCCTGAACCAGTCATAGAAGAACCCCAAGGGCATGAATCAAGTACTGAGACAAGATGAAGGCAATGTTTACATTGTAATATGTAAACAAACAATCACCTGGAATTAATTTGACATAATATGTATAATTTTTTGCAACAAATATGATAAATAGTATTGCAACAAACACATTCAAAGCAGCATTTGAATTAATAAGAATTGAGTAATAAGCCGCGAAGGGACCCTGTAGCTTGGGCGATTGAGGAGACAGTGAGGATAATTAGGCATGCGCGGGTCACGTGGGTGCCTTTTGGCGCCAAAAGGGAGGTAACTCAAGGTTGAGTGATTGTACGTTCACTTTCTACTTAACCGTTCGGAAGAGAGGAATGACTAAGCGAAAAAAGCATGAGTCAGGATAAGGAAAATATATGAGTTTACTTTTAGTACAATTTAGGATGTATTATGTGGGTGAAGTTAGGCTTGTATTTCTTATTTCAGGTTGATGTTATCGTGAACACTACGTCAAGCAGCCTCGATTTAAGTAAAGGAGCAGTTTCCACGTCAATACTCAAGACCGGTGGTGACGCTATCCAAATGGAGTGTTCTACCAAGTATCCAGATGGAATAAAGTCAGGGCAGATTGCCATCACTGGGGCAGGCAGTCTCATATGCCAGAGTATATTTCATACCTGCTTACCGAGCTGGCCACGTGATCAAAATGGTGAAATGGTAACTGAAAACATGTTTGAATGGACCCATGTCTTCTTTTCAAATTAATAATTATCATTGAACCGCCCTCTGCAGAAAATAATCAAATCTAATCATCTAAATGATTGCAGGTTGCCAGTCACTTGTAGATGCTTACTCTGTTTCCATATTTTGTTGACTGCCGACGTGTATATATGAATATCAAAGTCTTTTCAGCACAATCTCTAGTTTGGCTGGGGACAGCTCGATATTGCTAGATATAGGAGTATACAAGGCCAGCTTTTATTAATGAGATAGCTTATTTTTGTCCCCCCTGCATGTAATGCGGGCTTCGTTTCCGGAGCATTACTCAAAAGCATTCAATATTTTTCAACAAGACTTGGTAGATATATCAAACAGAACCTTAAGTGGTGCCTTTTGCTATTGCTAGATCTTTTGCATTTTTATTTTTCCCAGTTTCCATCGAAACGATTTGGACTTAGTCCCAAAAGGGAGGGGTGGGCTTCATTTCCAGAGCACAACTCGAAAACCGTTCAATATTTTTCAACATATCTTGGTAGATATATCAAACAGAACCTTAAGTGGTGCCTCTTGCTATTTCCAGATTTTTGGCATTTGGATTTTTCCTGGTTTCCATGGAAACAAATCAACTTTAGTCCCAAAAGGGAGGGGTGGGCTTCGTTTCAAAAACTTCTTAATATCTTTCAGTAAAACTTGGCAGATATGTGAGGCAGATCTTGAAGTGGTGCCTTTTGCTATTTGCAGATTTTTGTCATTTATGTTGCACTTAGTGTAAAATCAACCTGGACTTTAAGTAACTGTCAGATGATTTGTTCTTTCAAAGATGTGGGGGCCGGGGGGATATGTCATCTTCTGATGACTCTTGTTATCAATGAGGTCAACAAGCAAAATATTTTGGTCTTCTTTTTCAGATTTTGCAAACATTGGTTGCAAAATGTCTTAAGAAAGCTTCTGACAAGCAATACAGATCCATTGCTTTCCCTGCACTTGGTACGGGTAACCTTGGATACCCACGAGATGTGGTGGCCAAAACCATGATGGAAACAATGGAACAGTTCGGACAGGACAACCCCACGACATCCCTCCAGGAAGTGAAGATTGTTGTGTACCATAAGGACACTGCTACAATAAAGGTACTTCATGCATGAAGCATGTACACTTAAATCTTGGTTTGTTGTGTTGATTAATCTGTAAACTTCTGTCTATTTTTGTAAATGTGCCTTGATACAATCTGTCACCTTGCATAAAAATGTTGCTCATCTTGGGCAAGTGTATACTCACGTCTGCTCTTCTCTTCATGCCTGTGTAATAATAGGAGTATTTTTTTCTCTAACATGGCAGTGCTTTGATTTTTCTTAATTAGAGATGTTTGTTTCTTTAGAGTTTATATGGTATGGATGTCCCACCAACATTTCTGTTCAGTTTTATGTACATATCAGAATCACCCAACATGCATGACATGCACTTTGCTTGCTGATACTCATCCTGGATTTGCAATTTTCACCCCAGAAGAAATTGATGATTTGTCTCGCCCAGTGCCATCATACATAGTTTAAGCAATGTTGTGTGTCATCCATACTGATGTTAAATAAATTAGGAATTTTGTTGAGTTTTCTTATTGATAAGAACACTGTTCCAGTTCTGTGTATGTACAGCTAGAACCAACTGCCATTAAAGTATGGTTGTAATATTTTGTAAAGTCATTTTTAAGGAATATGTGCAAGATGTATGTGGTTTAGGTTATATTATTGTATATTTCTGTAAACAAACCGGTCATACTGTCCACTGTAGCACAACTCCTAATGTCTCTTGTACATTTCAGGCATTTGACTACCAGAAGGGGAAAGACACTGGTGGTGCTGGTGTGCCCTCACAACACAGAGGTCATAGGAGGAGCAGACAGTTTGGGGATAAACCACAGGGAGCATCTGCAACAGATGACAGTGACTGGCAGTACATCTCTAAATCAGATCTGACTCTAGTTTACCAGCTGGGCAAGGTTCAGCTGACACTCAAGCAAGGTGATTTGTTGAAGGAGAAGGCGGATTGTATTGTCAACAGCACCAACTCGGACCTCAACCTGACTGTGGGTAAGTTGAGAAGATATTTTAGTCAATTCAGCCTTTTAAGATATTTTATGTGTTTGTGTTCAATATTTGTCCTCAGTAGTGTGTTTCAGGATCCCAGATGCCCCTATCCTGTGTAGAAACCTTCCCATTATATACTACCCATCAAGGTTTAGACTCATAAGTGTAAATGTAGGCACTTACTTCAGTCAACTGTTCTAAACTAGATTTTGCCAAATATTCCATACTGTTTACACATGAAATGATGTATTATGAAACAAATTTGTAACGTTGAAGAGATTATTGTCATGAGTGTTCTGACATTTTATGGAATCTGTGTACCAGAGGATTATTGACAATCATGTTTACCTGTATGCTAGAAGCGCATTCACCCATAATTTTTGAGTTTATTATTATTAGGAAAATCACTGTGAGTGAGTATGGTGATATTGTATGAAATCAGTAATTTGTAGCTGAGATATGTATCTTTCTATTTCCCAGAGATATGACTTCATGTAACATATATTATTTTGTAGATACTGTTTAAACAGGTGTTCTGAAACATAAGAAATCTGAATATTATTATGATTACTGAGCTTTAAGTTGTATACACTGTTTGTGTATCATGGGTTTTATAGTGTTATAAATGTATGCCAGAGGTGTAAACTAGTACAGATTTGCTTGGTGGCACTTTCATTTGAAACTAGTAACACAATATGCTATGTATTTTTTAGAACTGTAGAAACTTCCTTTATTTGCTTAGTGGTTTGCATCATTAGACATTATTGATTGCAAATTATCTCCCCTTATAAACTAGCTTTTAGGCAACTTGCGATGCGCTCACAGAGCACATGTCAGTTAGAGTAACATACAACGGTCACAGAGAGAGAGAGAGAGTACATTTTGCCCAACTTTTCATTCGCACTAACGAAATAAAGAAGTTGTTATCCGTAAAAACTTGCTCCATATTGTACGTCTCAACTTCTAAAAATGCCACTCAAACAAGCAACTTTTCTTTGTGGAGAAATCACTCTTCAGGTAGGAAATTATTCATTATGCAAAAGAATGTTCACAAAATATTTTAATGACTACTATTTTATTAATAATAGCAACTTGTGGAGTATTGCATTTATCTTTTCAAATATCTTCACATGCACGCTTTGGAAGATTCCATTTTATTTTGAAGATGATATTGCGTAGGCAGTTTGCTGTATGTAAGCAGTGTTTGTAATGGAAAGGACTGTTTAATACTTTACAGGTTTATTCACGGTTCTTTAAATAATTACTTTGTACACAAAATTCTGTGTTTTGACGATAGTTTCCGGATTTGAGTAACTTTTGGAAGAGTCCATTTATATATTAGGGTATATGCCTTATCAGTTGTTATTTAGGCACATTGAAGTAATTTATCATTACGTTTATGTTATAATACTTATCTGCTCATATCATTTCGAGCATAGCTGGTCTGAAGTATATTATTATCCCCCGGGGTATTAAAATGGACTCCCTCCGTGCGTCCGTCCATCCGTCCGTCCTTCAGTGCACATTTGTCTTTTCCGGAGCAGAACTCTAAAACCGTTCAATATTTCTTCACCAAACTTGGCACATAGATTGGTCTGGTGGTGTACTGGTGCCTTTTTGTAGTTTTGGAAATCTGAATAAAATATTTTTGGCGTTTCCATGGCAACAAGTTTGACTTAGCCTGAAATTAGTGGTAGTGCTCTTTTCCGGAGCAGAACTCTAAAACCGTTCGCTATTTCTTCACCAAACTTGACACATAGATAGATCTGGTGGTGTACTGGTGCCTTTTGGTAGTTTTGGATTTCTGAATAAAATATTTTTGGCATTTCCATGGCAACAAGTTCGACTTAGACTGAAATTAGTGGTAGTGCTCTTTTCCGGAGCTGAACTCTAAAACCGTTCACTATTTCTTCACCAAACTTGGCACATAGATTGGTCTAGTGGTGTACTGGTGCCTTTTGGTAGTTTTGGATTTCTGAATGAAATGTTTTTGGCGTTTCCATGGCAAAAAGTTTGACTTAGCCTTAAATTGGTGGTAGTGCTCTTTTCTGGAGCAAAACTCTAAAACCGTTCACTATTTCTTCACCAAACTTGGCACATAGATAGATCTGGTGGTGTACTGGTGCCTTTTGGTAGTTTTGGAATTCTGAATAAATTATTTTTGGCTTTTATTTTTAACAAGTTTGACTTAGCCTTAAATTGGTGGTAGTGCTAAATTCCGGAGCTGAACTCTAAAACCGTTCACTATGTCTTTACCAAACTTGGCACATAGATTGGTCTGGTGGTGTACTGGTGTCTTTTTGGTAGTTTTGGAATTCTGAATAAAATATTTTTGGCATTTCCATGGCAACAAGTTTGACTAAAACAGAAATTAGTGGTAGTGCACTTTTCCGGAGCAGAACTCTAAAACTGTTCGATGTTTCTTCACCAAACTTGGCACATAGATTGATCTGGTGGTGTACTGGTGCCTTTTGGTAGTTTTGGATTTCTGAATAAAATATTTTTTGGTATTTCCATGGCAACAAGTTTGACTTAGCCTTAAATTGGTGGTAGTGCTCCTTTCTGGAGCAGAACTTTAAAAACCTTTCAATACTCTCCTTCCACTTTTCTATATACACACCTAAATATTTGACATAATCATAACTCGTAGACATAATCATGAAGAGTATTTTGCCATTGCGGTGGATATTGATGACTTTATCTTCTTGTTTATATTATGTGGAGAGTATTGTTCCCACGTGGGAGAGTCCAATATTGAATTTGAGATTTAGTATAAATCTTGGGTTTCAGAGATGTTTACATTTGATGTATTCAAAGGTGCATATGTATTTACTATGAAAACATGGTAGTATGTATTTATTTTCTGCATTTCATTCTTGCAGAATATACCTTGATCTACATTAAACGGATATTGGGAAGACTCCACATTTAGTCATTGTTCATTCAAAACAATGAGTTCAATAAATGAAGAAATTCAGTGAAAATTGGCCAATTCTTAACAAAACTTTACGCCAAACCGCAGCTGTTCACATGCATTATATGTGCACATGCTTTTCAGCAATTTGATGCATGATCCTCGTGCAATTTGTCTGCATAAAGTTTGCATTTTGGTCCCCCAAGTTAGTGGAGCAATTCATATTCGATGTAATCATATATATATTCATGACATAGTGAGGGCTTTAAGTGAGTCTGAACTGATGTCTTTCCAGTTGAATGCACGGAAATTGATACATTATTGGCGTATTTTAGAGATTGTCATAAACATATTTTTCACCAATCTCTGTTGGAGGCAAAGATGTATTTTTCAAAGTGAACTTAATGAAACATTGTCCGCACAATGAAAGTCTATCTTTCATTTTCTCTCTAACCCAACTGAAGGAATGATCAAATCATAACTGCATTTGATCATGCAAATTTGAGATATGAATGTTAGTTTGTTTTCAGGAGTGAAGATAAAAGAACACTTGTGAAAATTCTCAAACAATTTAAGGCTCTTCTGCTCAAACACCACAAGGACTGGAATCTGAAACATTGATATCATATATAGTTAATAAATAGGGTTTAGATTTGTGCCAATACCACAAAATAGTTTTCTTAACAAATTTGTGAAATATTAGAAGAGATTTAGAATGTTCTCAGAGAACATAAGGTCTCAGAGAAACTTTAAGAGGATTTGTATTGCCCTTTTTAGTGTGCATCTGAATGGAAAGCAGAAAATGATCTTATCTATGTTAAACAGTTTGTATATTTATTATCTAGGTGCAGTGTCCCAGTCTATCCTGAGAAAAGGTGGACAACAACTTACAGATGAACTGGGACTCAAGAGTATGTATTCACATAATTATCCTTAGTGAAAATGTGACTTGGATCCCAGAAGGATATTGTATTGTTATCTGGGATCTCACCTAGATGTATTACCCATACAGGATCTCTCTTTGATCAGTTGAGACTTCTGGGGAGTGACCGATACTTCAATACCAGAGTGGTTAAATTCAAAATATGTTCAACTTTGGATTATAGTTCTCAGTAAGGTACAGATTCTAATACGTTTTAGGTTCAGCCCTGCCTGGGATATCAACTTACACTCTCAGTCTGGAGCATCTCGGAATCAGTGTCAGTGTCAGTGATCGAACATGTTTTATGAATTTGGTTGGGTGTGCTAAACCGAAAACCAGACTTCTAGCAACATGACGGGAATGTGTGAAATATACCTACCCACAGTAAAGTGTCATTGACAATTGCTGACATAGAATTGCATTATTTTTTCTATACATTACCCATAAATCCCTATCTTCCCCCAGACGTAACATAACTATTGCAAACACAATGAATAATGTCATTCAATATGTTATATTAAGACTTTTATATTTGAAAGACAACAAAATATATCTTTGATTGCAATATCAGTATTTCCACCTGTATGTGTTTCACTCTTGGTTTGCCTGACATAAACGAGAGAGGGGTATAACCTGCCAGATCTTAGGGGATGTAGTATCACTGGAGTTGGATCCTGACCAAACCATAAACTCAGTGGGATTCCACCTCCAGCTCAGTCACATCCCACTAGAAACAGGGTGGGATGCTAAATCCTTGTGGGATTCCCAGTCAGATTGACGCTGGGGATATCTTGAACTCAATTCATTAGTGACTGTCAGTGAAACAAATAAATCAGAATTTAGAAAGATTTTTTATGCTGCTCTGTAAAAACTTGTTGCTAAAAACAAATCACATAAGACTAAACAGATAATTTATTATCCCCCACAACGCATTTTGAGGGGGTTATTTAAATGGACTCTGTTCGTGGATCCGTTCGTCCGTGCATCCGTGACATTTGTCTTTTCCGGAGCAGAACTTTAAAACCGTTCAGTGTTTCTTCACCAAACTCGGCACATGCATACATTGTCAACATGACTCAGAGACCTTTCCTTCCAGGATCACACGCGAATCACTGTAACAAATCTTACCATGGCTGAGAGCTTTAAAGGGAGGGACGTAGTCTCAGTTTGCTACAAATCTATTCTGAGGCGTTATCTGCCCATGAAACAATCCCCAGGTACATTTGAAATGTTCAGCAGACGTGGCCTGTAAAAGAAGTAATTAGCTCACCTGGCTGCAGTTTTCCAATGCATGTTAGTTTCTGTTGGTACTTGGAATTAACATTGACAAAACAGATTTTTTTTTTAGAGCATGAAATGAAAAAGCAGATTTTTTTTTTAGAGCATGAAATGAAAAAGCAAGGAATTGTCACAACTACTGCCGGAGGTCTCCAAGCTAACTACATCATCCACGTCTCTGGAGATCACTTCACTCAAGACTGGAAGAAAGGGATCACAAAATGTCTTGAAGAAGCTGGAACTCTACCAAACGTATCATCTATAGCATTCCCAGCCCTTGGAACAGGTATGGTCAGATGAAGCAGATGAAGACAAGGAGTGGATTTCAATCTGAAGTATTTCCTCCGTATATACAAACAAACATATACAAACAACATTGTATTGATTAAATTATTCAATACACCACTTATATATGATCACCGCAGATAGCGTGCTATTGTATATATTCAGTACTGCTCTGTTACAACTCTGTTGTGACTGATGTTTTCTGTGGTACATCAAAGTGTGGTACAATTTCCAAACTGCATATCAATATACATGGAGAATGTTGTAAATGAGGTTTATGTTTTGAACAGGTCAAGGTAATAGGACTCCTGAAGAGATGGCCACTTGTCTGATTGCAGCAGTGAATGACTACCAGAGCTCCCATCCAAAACATGGAATGATAACAGACATTCGAATGGTCATCTTCCAGAAGGACATGCTGGACCCGTTTACTGCAGGAGTGATTAAGGCTCTAACTTCCAAAAAGAAAGGATACTTCAGAAAAGCCCTTGGTAATCATACACTTTCTGCAACAGTAATTCTGCAACCCATTGATGACTTAGGGCAGTATGTGTCCCCATCACCCAAATAATTGTTGTAAAATTGGGGACTGGTTGCCTCCCTTGATGTTTTATGCTAGATTTGTTCAAAAGTCATCTGCGATATTGGTATGCTGTGTGCCAGTGTACAGTAAAGCCTTAGCTCTAACATCACTTTGTACAATGGCACCCTGGCTGTAAGACTAAACTGGCTGGTTTGTCAGGCTCTTGTATATCATCATGGCTTGATGTTGTGCGTTGGACATTGCTTAAAATATCAGGCTCGTCACGATATGGCTGAGATATTGCCGATGTGATGTTAAATATTAACTCACTCACTCACTAAAGTCCAAAAACAAAGGATACTTAAGGAAAGCCCTTGGTAATTATACAATCTTTGCAAAAGTAATTCTGCAACCCATTGATGACTGAAACCAGTACGTGACCCACTCACCCAAATAATTGTTGTAAGATTGGGGACCATGGCCTCCCTTGATGTTTTATGCTAGTTTGGTCTATAGTCATCTGTGATATTGGTATGCTGTGTGCCAGTGTACAGTAAAGCCTTAGCTCTAAAATCACTTTGTACAATGACGCCCTGGCTGTAAGAATAAAATGGCTGGTTTGTCAGGCTCTTGTATGTCATCATGTCTTGATGTTGTGCGTCGAACATTGTTTTGATATCAGTGACAGGATTCTACACTCAGTTATTATCATATGGCAGGAATATTGTTGAGTACTGGATTCTAAAACAAACTTGCACAAACCTTTTACTATTCAGGATTTTCATTCTTTTTCCTTATCCTGCCTCAGGATCTTTTGCTTATCTCCCTCTTCTATGCAAATGCTAGTGGAACACTTGAATCCCTTGTAGTTCCCTTGAAGAGGACGTAAAAGTTCACTCACCCACGAGTTGCCTCCCTTTTCCTACCAAAATAGTCATGTGGCTTGTCAAGCGGATGGTTGGGCAAGCAGTGGAGTCCAGTATATGGCACCATATGCGTTTCCATGGTTACAAGTTGGACTTAGATTGAAATTGGTGGTAGTACTCTTTTCTGGAACAGAACTGTAAAACTGTTCAATGTTTCTTCACCAAACTTGGCACATGGACAGATCTGGAGGTCTACTGGTGCCTTTTGGTAGTTTTGGATTTCTGAATAAAATATTTTTTTGTGTTTCCATGGTAACAAGTTGGACTTGGACTGAAATTGGTAGTAGTGCTATATTCCGGAGCAGAAGTCTAAAACCATGCAATATTTCTTCACCAAACTTGGCACATAGATAGACCTGGTGGTCTACTAGTGCCTTTTGGTAGTCTTGGATTTCTGAATAAAATATTTTGGTGTTTCCATGGCGACAAGTTGGACTAAGACTGAAATTGGTGGTAGTGCTCTTTTCCGGAGCAGAGCTTAAAAACTGTTGACTGGTTCATCACCAAATTTCATGCATAGGTAGGCCTAGTGGTGAACTGTAGCCTTTTGCTAGTTTTGGATTTCTGAATAAAATGGTGTTTTTTTTGTGTTTCCATGGTTAAAAGTTTTGGCCTCAACTGAATTTGGTGGTAGTGCTCCTTCCTGGAGCAGAACTTTGAAACCTTTCAGTACTCTCCTTCCACTTTGCTATATGCACACCAAAACATTTGACATAATCATAACTCGTAGACATATTCATGAAGAATATTTTGCCATTGCGGGGATATTGAATATTTGCTACTACAACCAAGATCTGCACCCGAGGTGGCTCCACTCAGACTCACGCCCCAAGCTTCCACGCTCACCTTGGCGACAAGAAGATTGCTATCCAGGTTCCAGAACCCCAAGACTGAAGAGGATAGAATGATCCTATCAGCACTGTTAACTCAGAAGAAATACCAGCACTTCATGTCTGATCACCTGGCCATGATGTCGGCAGGTCTCATCCTACTACGAAGACAATGTCTACTATTGACAGGTTCACACAACCTCTACTAAGCGTTCCTTGGGTGGCGCCTACTATCTTCTGCGGGGAGATCGACAAAGTTGCCAAGGAAGTCACACATGATTCCAGAGAAGCCATGATGATCAAATCCATCGACATGTTGGCCAGTGTCATAGAGGTACAGCAACAAGTCAAAGTTCTCTGGAGTACAGAAGGCGCAGGAGAAGAAATACTCCAGCTCCAGTGTACAACTGTCGACAGTGGGTGGACGTCTACAAAGGTACTGGGAAAATTGGGGAATATTGGAGGACGACTACGTCTCACAAGTACTGTGAGAAGGCTCAGAGTGCAGCTGAAGGCCACACCACCACTGACCCTCAACCCATTAGTCTTCAACTACGCAAACGACCAGGCAGAAAAGCTAGAAGAAGCCATCAACTCGCTATTGGCGAAGAACACTGTAGAAGTTATAGATCAACATAATCTGACACCTGGCTTCTACTCCCCAATTTTCCTGGTACCCAAGAAGAACTCCAAAGAGAAGTTGATATACAACATGAAGAGATTCAACCAAGACTATCTACTCAAGCCAGAGAAATTCAAGATGATCCACCTGCCTCGACTCCGACAACTCGTCCGTCCAGCAGATTACTTGGCCAGCATAGATCTGAGATTCCTGTTCAGAGGTTGACACTTCCAGTGAAGTGTCCTGCCGTTTGGAATATCACTGGCCCTGTGGTTATTTACACGAGTGACCAAGCCCATCGTCACCTGTGTACATCATCGAGGTCTATGCGTTGCCGTCTACCTGGACAACGGGATACAAGTTCATCAAGAAGCCAATCGACTCAGATGGCAGCTAGACTTCACCATCAAACTGCTTGCACAACTGGAAAGTGTAATCCCCATTATATAACGTATGTTACAACTGGGATGGCTAGTAAACTTGATGAACTCAGAGTTTGAATCAAAGCAAGATCTTCAGTTCCTGGGAATGAGGATCATCACAACACGGAATCGTATTGTGGTCCCAGAAGATCGTTAGGTCAAGATCCAAGCCATGATTCCAAAAGCAGTCATCCCTCTGTTACCACTACGAACATGACTCCTCGGTCTACTCACCTCAACGCAGGATCAGACTTGCAGAGGAAGACTACAATTACGTCTGCTGCAGCGATTCCTGGCAAGACACCTGGACAGCATGGACCTGATCTCTCTACCAGACAGTCTCAAGACGTACCTGTTATGGTGGACTCACAAGTCGAATGTTTGCGGAGGGACCAATTTAGAAGAGCCGGTCTTCGACATGGACCTCTACTTAGATGCCTTACTACGAGGATGGGGAGCACATCTCGACAACGAAGTGGCATGAGGGAAGTGGTTTAGAAAAGAAAGCTGCGATCAACTTGCTAGCAGACGCTCTATCTCGCCAACTTCATCTGTCACCAATGGAATGGATGCTCCAACCAGAAGCGTTCTGGTTCATCATAATGAAAATAGGATCTCCTTTCATAGACTTGTTCGCCACAAGGTTCAACGAACAACTACAGACATTCGTCTCACCAGTACCAGATCCTCAAGCCTGGGCAACAGACGCACTGAGCTTGTCAATGGGCAGGACTAAACACATACACGTCTGCCTCCGGTTCTACTACCTCAAGTACTATTGAAGATCAAGCAGACCCAAGTGCTACAGCTGACTTTGGTTGCGCCCTACTGGCCAGCGAGAGTCTGGTTCCCAGATTTAATACAAGAACTTGGAAGTCCAACACTGAAACTACCAGAGTGGCCGAACCTCCTCGTACATCTGCACACGAAGCACGTAAACCCGCTAAGGTTCCAGCTACACCAATGGACCATATCAAGACTTGCTTGAAGAAAAAAGGATACTCTGCCAAATCAGCAAAAGCAGTAACCCTAGCTCTACACAGATCAACTCGCAACTTGTACGACGACAAGTGGCAGACATTTGAACAGTACAGACAGCAATGAAAGCGACTCATCCTCAAGTGGCGGAATATCTATGTCACCTTAGATATACGAGGCGATTGAAAGGTTCGAGTGCGACAGTCTGGTCTAAAATGCGTCACAAAATTAATGCAAGCTCAGGAATCTGTGTTGATGATAAAATGAGACACTCTGAATCTTTGGTGTTGTTCTTTTTCTTTTCACACTTGTTATTTACCAAATAACCTGAATTGAGCTTGTTAAGCAATGAATGGACATGTGCTGACAATGTTTTGATTACGCTGTCATGTTTGATAACGTTATTGCTTGCTACTACTTGTCTTATGACAACATGTATAAATGTAATCCGACTTGAAAGACACACTGAGTTGGAAAGACCAAAGTACAACAAACATGTGGCTGGAGAATGTCCGTCCTTGCTGATGTGCTTGAGCGACTTTAAACAATGACCGGTGATTGTAAACAGTGATAACTACATGTAGCTTGAAATACCTGTAATCAGGAATGGTAATATGGAAGTGACCTGTACTAGTGTAATGTGTAATGTCAACACTTCCGCTATTTTTGCAAAATTTGCCGATGAATAAAGTTCAATGGATATCAATTAGTGTCATGGAGATTAGTCCTCATTTGTCAATTAATTTTATGAGAGATGTCTAAATTGTTATTATATTCATTATTGTTATGATGAATAACCTGAAGACTATGAAGACAACGAGAGATTTACATTTTGTGTCTTTTATTCAGTTCTCAAAAGTAGACATGGTCAGACTGAAAAATATTGCGTCATTATAATAATGCGAGAAGAGTACAGACACATTGTTCGCATTAATTTCGTGACTTACAGTACTTGACAGCTATCAGTACAGTCGTCACGATGAAGACGGGCATCAAGCTGACAAAAGTGCCAGAACTACTTGCTCTACTACGCTCCTTCAAGCTGGAAGACCAGCAGAAGAAATTCAGAGCACCAGTCTGGGATCTGAACTCAGTTCTACAGCATCTCACAAGTGATGTCTATGTATCACTAGAGCAGACTACCTTCGAGCTACTCGGACCAGAGGATACCCAAGACTGATCCTTGTGTCCTGACAGTGCTCTGAAGATGTATCTTCAAAAGACTAAAACAAGGAGAAGAAATTTCAAGCGCCTATTCATCCCCTTGTTAGCAGAGACGACCGTAGAAGTCTCCGAAACGACAACATCATTTAGGATGAGAGCCGTTATACTCAGGGCCTACAAAGCAGCAGGACTAGAACCTCCAAGAGCTTCCAACCCACACAAAGTCAAATTACTGACGTCCACACTCGCTTTGCACGGAATCTGCTTGATATCATCTATTATCGAGGGCTGCTTTTGGAAGTTGGAAACGGTGTTTTCCAAACACTACCACTTAAGATGTCTCCAGCATTAACCATGTTGGGGCCACTCGTTGTAGCACAACATCTAACAGTTCCACTAGGGCGTTGAGTTGGAAATCTCGTCCTATATCACGTTTACTTGTTGATAACCTTCACTCTGGAGAGTTTTGGTTGAGAATCCATGCGCACCGTCTAGACCAGACTAGCATGAGTGATTAAGACTCTGTACAGGTAACGATCTTACCCGTAAGCTAGGGGTCGTAACTCATTTATGGTAATGATCTTATCATAATCTATGGGTTGTTTATAGATGACAAGTAAGAAGAAGATACAAGTATATCTCAAATCCACATGAATCTATGAGATTCACTTGTCTTAGAGAAGATATGACAAGATGTGGTCCCCCTGAGTTGACGGCGCAAGTTGGAAGGACAGGATCCAAGAAGTGCCGTTACACAGTTCCCAAGGGGGGGTTACAGAACGTATCTTAGGGTAGCTGATGAATCCACGAAGTGGCCTGACCCACCACTGTTTCCATTTGATTCTGGAAGCATAATTTATAAGTATGAGTTAGGATAAGGAAAAATATGTAATTTTTAAAGTAAAATTGATATTTTACACTTATCCTGACTCATGGTGTCAAGCCCTCCCAACCTCCCCGCAGAAGGCACTTCGAGTTTCCCAGCAAACCCAGGTGTAAGGGCTTATTCAGGAGAGAGTGGCAAGCTTGGCAAGTCACATGACTGTTTTGGCTGGAAAAGGTAGGCCTCTTGTGAGTGAGTGAACTTTTAGGTTCTCTACAAGGGAACTACAAGGGATTCAAGTGTTCCACTACAATTCGCAAAGAAAAAGGAGACAAGCATTATTAGTCTTATCACAAATGTATGATCAAGTTTAATATGGAACACGTTTTTATGGATAACAACTTCTTTATTTCGTGAGTGCGACGTTTCGATACAGATTCTTGTACCGTTGTCAAGCAAGAGTGATACATGAAGTGGAGGAGCTGCATATATATATACTGTATATAACAATGAAACAACATACATTGTAATTGACAAGGGAAACAACATAATTGCCATAATTGGTTAAGCAGTAAGTTGATGAAGCCATGAGTACACAAAGGATAGTGAATGGAAGCCAGAGATGTATAAATACAGGAGTAGTTACAATGAAGGAGATGTTTATACAATGGGTGCAATGTTTATACAATAGATTGGGCTTGGTGGAGGAGTGGATCATAAGCTGATGGAATGAAGTATCCTTGGTCACGGTTGATGGTTGGCTTATGGCGTTTGATGTGAATGGCTTCGGTGAGCTTGCGTTTAGTGAAGTCCGTTTGGTTGTTGGCGAGAATGGTGAAGTCGGAGCACTCTATTTGATGATTTGGGTTTGCTTTGATGTGGTCAGAGATTGCTGATTTGGTGTCGGAATTAGCAACAGAGGTGCGATGTTCTTTGACTTGGGTGTTGATGGGTCGGGATGTTTCACCTATGTAGTAGCTTTGTCCACAATCACAGTTTATTTTATAAATAACACATTTCGGGTTGTTGTTGTTGACGGTGGGTTGGAGGAGGTTGTTGAGGCTGGAGGACGCTGAGAAGGTTGTGTCTATGCCTGCCTGTTGTTTCAGGAGTCGGCTGATTTGATGTGATGGTTTACCTATGAAGGGAATGGATATCTTGATGGGGGCTGATTCTGGTTTAGGTCTTTTGGCAGGAGGTGAAAGCGTTGCTTCGATGGTTCTGTTGACTATTTCAGGTGGGTAGTGGTTGCGTTCTACAAAGACTTTCCTTAGGTGTTCAATTTCTTCTTGTAGGTTTGTTGAGCAGATGTTTTGTTATCCATAAAAACGTGTTCCATATTGTACGTCTCAACTTCTAAAAATGCCACTCAAACAAGTTATGATCAAGTTGTTGTAGCTGACAATGTTGTTATTTCACTTTTGATTTACAGACTATGTTATGGGAGGATCTACTGAGAAGACTGAACAATTCACACGGCCAAAAGAACAGCCAGCGAATGCTATCACCCTCTACTTCTTCTCAGATAGCATGGATCATATTGACCAAGCAAAATCCATGTTGGAAGATCAGTACCAGAATAGTACAATGACCAGGCCCATATTTGATGAAGCACTCAAGACTATGACTAAACAACAGGTGAGTTATTCTTTTTCAGAAGATGTCCTCCTTGGGGTACCTTTTAGCATTTAAATGTCCTTTCTAAATTTCTTATGATTGTTGGAACATTATTTTAAATTTTTTTTTTACAAAACAAAAAATACACTTTTTTGTCTTGTTTGACCACCCCTGCAGGGCCCCGCATGGGGCCCCACAGCCAAGAGAAGGTAACTCTAATCTCTAACCTCACAACTCACTTTCCATGATGTCGTTCTACAGACGTGAGTGTGTTCCATTGAACTTTTTCAAGAGAAATTCCTAAGATGAGTGCGCCAGAGGCAAATACTATATGTATGGTTTTCTTCTTTACTGCATGGGTAATAGGTTAGGCTGTTTCTGACGTTTCCCAATTCATCTATGTTGTAACTTTGCACCTGTCCCTGTCATCTCGCCATGTGCCTTGCAAGATGGTGGTCATTGTGCCTTGCTTCCCGTAGCTATTTTTCACTGTCTTGCTCCTTATCATTTTTCAGTTATGGCAGGGTTGCTTCATTATCTTTATATAAATTTCCTTTTTATTATTTTAGGCATGAATTATGACCCTATATTTTTTGGTTTCTCAACCACTTACATATAGTCGGGTTATGTGGTTTGAATTTATTCTTCTCTGCTCGTGTTAACATTTTGTTCAGTAGATATCTAGAATCAGGTTCAGGCTCCCAGCACGGCAACTCTGTTGCTTTTTCAGCAGTTTTTTTCCTGCCACCTCAGAGCCGAGACTCGAGCCATCTGACTCTGATCGACTTCTGATCCCTTCATTGTCTTCCTCTTCTGTGGCATCGGTGACCACTCTATCGCGAGAGCTCGGTTGTCGAGGACTGCAATGAAAAGGAGGATGAGGGGAGAGAAAAGCTGGGGGGCGAGGTCCTGGACGACTCGGGGTCATCCTTGAGGCAGTTGTGAGAGGGCATTGCAGCCTTTTTGCCTCAGGTGGTCTGATCCTGATCTTGCAGAGTTCTACCTTCATTCGCACCCAGCAAGGTCGCCAAGGTGAGGCTGCGCATTCAACCATCACTGGTCACTGAGGTAGTTAATCCTCTCCTGTCGGTTACCCATTCACACTTTGATTTGGTTAATCTTAGCAGACAGTATCCAAGACACTATTCAAATCGCCAGTGGTTGATGAATGCATGTATGCTTCTGTCAACCTAGGTGGGTCTACTAGCTTCTCCTTGGTTTCGGCCAGACAGGGCCGGCAGCGGCGCCATATCTGACCAACACCTCGACGCTAAAGTCTGTGTACCACTCCTTCGAGGAGCAGTACCATTACGTGGTACAGCAGCTAAGGGTGGTGGTCCACTCAGCGTATCTCCTTGCAGGAAGAGCTGGTGAACCAACGTCAGAGCACTGATGATTCGTCATCACCTACGCTCGCATGGCAGGTGACGGATGTACATTCACACTTTGCAATCGTGTAGCTGTGCCGTCCAGTTGATGTACACAATATAGGGCCTGCATTGGTTGTGGCTGTCTTGCCCTGTAATTTGGATTCTACCCTCTTCCCTGGGGCTTTGAAGGTAGTCTCAGGGGCCGCAGAGGCAGTTAGCACCTTAAGGACTGTAAGCCCCTCCACAATTCGCCAGCAGCCCTCGGTTGTTATCCTTTGGTGCTGGCGAAGGAGTCGGCTAAATGGACTGCTCCATCACAGACTAAGAAAGGCACCGGGACCCTTGGTGACTCCAGCACAAACAAATAACATTTTGCCAACTGTGGGAGTCCACTGCCTCTTGCCAGACATCCTGTCAGTGTCTGGCTGTCCTTTTTCTTTTGGGAATGGGAGAAAACCACCTCCAAACCTGTCCACACTCAGGGATGGCCACATGCCACTGTGGAGGTAAGTCCACCGTCCTTTTCCGGAGTGGGTCGCACATCAGTGCCAGCCTCCCGAGAAAAGGTGACATTCTCCCTGCCATTTTCTGTGGATTTAATTGTAGTTTCGGAGTTCCTCCAATCTAGGTTATAAGGTTGTCTCACCGCTTCAACCAGTTAAGGTTACTCCATGGCAATCTCAGCGTTTCATGTACATCTCAATGTTGTCCTTCAGGGGCAGCACCCTCTTGTGCATCACTTTCTAGCAGGCGTGGACAGGATCCGTCTGGCTGTCCAGCAGTTTAGTCCCCCATGGAACTTCTCAATCATTCTTGATTGACTGTCCGGTCCTCTGTTTCACAATCTGTTGGCATCTTCCCTCCAGTTGTTGATGTGGAATGTGGCATTTCTTGTGGCGGTAACGTCTTGTAGACGGGCCAGTGACATTCAGACAATGTCCGCCAGCCCTGAGCTAACTGTTTTTCATACGGACAGTCAGCATTCAGCTGCCAGATTCTTACTGTCCTAAGAAAGACAGCGCATTTCATGTCACAGTGCCTATTTAGCTTCCAGCTCTATCTCAGCCTCTTCTTCAGGTGCAAATCTTAGATGTCCATGAGACTCTCAAGGCTTATATCAAAGGAACAAAGGAGGACAATCAGTTGTTTTGCTGTTATGGCAGGAGTAAGGTTGATCTTCAGGTGAACAAGTAGACCATATCTAGGTGGCTTGTCTCTGCCATTTGTATGGGTTATATCCTCAAAGGCTTGTCACCCTCTTAGGGTTTGAAAGCTCAGTCAGTAGCCACCTCCAAGGCATATGCTGCAGCTCTGTCCATTGAGTAGATCTACTCCGCTACTATTTGGAGCCAGCTGTGCATGTTACCTACTTGACAGACACTCCAACGACCATGCGAGTCAGTTCTTACCACTGGGCAGAGTCGTAAACTCTCTAGCCGATTGAGCTTTCAAGAAGGCAGGCAAACTGTATCAGACATTTGGAAAAAAGCGTGATGTTTTGAACAATGTTTAGTGCTGAACAAACAATAATTATCTGTCATCAACATTGTTTTAATTTGTTGCACAATTACAAACGATCAAAGGCATTATAGAGATAAAGAGATTGATGAGTGTAAATGGCAGTCATGTTGGAAAATGATTGTCACTGTCTAATCCGGCACCCTGTCGAAACCGGCATTTTATTTCGGTGCCGTGGGGTGCCGGTTTAGACAGGTTTCACTGGACTTTTATCTGCTTGGATATTAATACTTTCCTCCCCCTGGTAGTGGGTTCTTGGTGCTGGTTTAGTATCCCGCATTGGTATCACGTTTGACATATCTGCACTCCTTCAATTTCTCTTGGAGACCTCCATTTGCTGGGCCCTGCAGGGTTGGTCGAGCAAGACAGAAAAGTGTATTTTATGTTTTGTAAAACTTTTATTCAAAATATAGTTACAACTGTCGTAGGAATTTAGAATGGACATTCAAATGCTTATTTGTACCCCAAGGAGGACTTTCTTTAAAAAATCTGCAACTTCTAAAGGTTTGTTCAGGTTTATATGTGAAGATCACTGTTGTTTACCACAGTACAAATAGAAAAGTAGTGAGTGGTAAAAGTCTTAACAAATCAATGATGAACATGGCTGTGTACCCAACACAGAAAAAACGAATTTGATTAAGACTGATGGGGCATTATTGTGAACATAATTCATTTGTTGCTGGATGTGATGAAACTAATGTTGTTAAAAAAGTGGGTTTTGAAAGATATAACCATATGTTGATGGAACTGAACACATGCATATTCGTGAGGTCCCATGTCCACAACTGTTCGCTGAAATCAAAAGAGATTGCTTGGTGGAAATTCGTACAAAGATGCAATGTAAAACCTATATATTTACTGTTCTGGATAATAGTTCTTAAGCTGGTCACTTTAATGTGTTCAGTGTCTTGTGAAAAATGAATGAATCAAAGAAACAATAAGTCACATTATGTCATTGTTCTGTGTTTTGTTGTAGGAAGCAAAGATTCAAGATCTAGCAGCCAAGTTCAGCATTTCTGTTGACTATAACCGTTCAACAGGAAGAGTTAAACTTCATGGTCTTACAAATGATGTCATCACAGCCATGGAGGCAGTACACAAGATTGTACAGGAGGCTCTTCGTCAGGAACAGCAATCTGAGAAGGCTGAGATGTTGTCATCCTACGTTCAGTGGTCATACATTGAAGTAGATAATACAGGCTCATCACAGCCAGTAGAATATGATAAGATCATAAATCAACAAATTGAAGAAGCTTATCAAAACAAAAAGTCTTTGATGCGTCTGCCTCCTGACACTGGTGGAGATGTTTATATCGTTGATTTAGACAACATGGAAGAATATCATTCAGATTTTCCCAGTGATAAAGTCTCTGTGATCAGAAAAGATCTAATCAAAGGTATGTTTGTTTCTCAGCCTCACTAACTGCACCTGGTCAACGACCGGTCTAATCCTACTGAATAAATCTGGGAATATTGACTCAATATTGACGAAGTCAAGCATGACACATCAATAACTGTAATGTTAGGGGTTTCAGACGTCACTGCCCAAAAATACATCCAGTAGAGGCTGATGTGAAATAAATTTGATTCGAAAAGATAAATTTTATAGTTAACTGAATTGTTGAGTTGTAAATTAGTCTGAATATATCATCTGCTATGAAGTTTCCTGATGCTAATAGCTTGAGAATCAGACAAATTAAGTTTAAGGACAGGTCACATGTTTATATGAAGTATGTTGTGATTACATAAATGTAAGGTTGTAAGTCTTAATCAGACATTATCCGAAAAGATGCTTCAACTAACAAAAGCTGTATAGCCTGAACACATTCAGCATAATTGTGAAAATATGTGTGCATGCTGACATGTATCAATGGTTTTCAGGAGCATCGTTTGAGCCTCCTTCCAAATGGACACAAATGACAACAGAAAGTGAAATGGTAACACTTAACAATACAGCTCAAGAGTACACAGATGTTCAACAGAAATTTCACAGCAGCCTTGGAAGAATTGCCAACATTTTGAAGGTTGTTTACTGCATTGTTCATAAAAATAATTGACACTTGGTGCATGACTTTCTTAGGGTAGGGCCAAGATTAAAAGTGGTCCTGAGTGACCGTCTTATAAGATCAAGGTGACAGTGAATGTTTTAGTATGCTAGCTATTTTCACTGAGATATCTGCAGATAACTTTAGAACTCTTACGTTATTGAACTATTTATACGGTACAAGTGATGTCAAGCTTATGATCATTTATGTTTAACTTTTAATGTTCAGTTTTACACTGATACATATTAGAAGTGTTCACAGTGGTGGAAAGTATGAGGTGACCACAATTTGCTGTGCAGAGTTGTGTCCCTTGGGTATACCAGAAATACTAGTATGTGATTGTGGGTTTGAATCCCAAATCATTACGATTATGTTTTGATGTTTCTTGGCACCATGGGTTTTACCAGAGTGGTAAATGTCTCAGATCATCATTAGTGCTGTCGTTCCTTCCATGTTTAGCTGACACTCTGAGATACCACTAGAGATCTGTTCAAACCAGTAGTGCACCCCAATCACTCACAGTAGTAGGATAAGGATTCGTATCATCCTCTGGACTAGACATTAAATGGGTAATGTCTCGGGGTATCCTCATTGAAGGTCAAAGTCACTGGAATGGTCATTTGAGAGTTTCTTTGTTTACGGAGCCAAACTCCTTGTGTTTGTAGGACTATGCTGAATGCAGCGAATGATTTTAGCTCAGTATGGGTGTATGGTCAGTATACAGGAAGTGCTTTCTTATTAATATAGCTGGAGACATATTGATTTCTAAAATGCTGACATGTATTGGGCTTCCATGGGTACTCGAGTACTTGTTCATCAGTCAGGTTTAGCTGGACTCAAGTCCATTTTCTAGGACTCGAGGACTGGATAAGGGGAGATAATTCTAATTGGGTTACATTGTCAGACTCGTCTGTCTGCCATGTCAGCACTAAGCATGAGCGTCTGTTATCATTTGATATTATACCTTGTTACATTGTTTAAGACTTCACTTCTTAAAATGATTTGAAAACTATCCTGTTAACAATTGATAGACATGGAGAAAGATTGAAAATCAAATGTATGGATATATTTTGATCAGGATAGTGAACAGATAAAAAAACAAATGCCATCTGTGCGGTATATCACTGAGTTATGCAGGGAGTACGGCCAGTACGATGAAAAACATCCAAATACTGATTCTGACCAGCCAAAATGAAAGCAGGCCACTCATGGGTCATTTGGCAACTTTGGAATGACAAAACCTGTAGACAGAAAGTTGTAAGAAAGGGTCACACAGAAAGCAATACTCATGTGCATTCGCGACCTGCGACCACTAAACGTTGGGAAAGGTGACGGTTTTCGTGCAATTTGTGCCGAGTTAAACCTTAACTATAAAGTCCCATGCTCAACCACTCTCTACAATTACCTGCAATGAAATTTTGTTCAAAGCTAAGTCAGAGCTAAAACCCAAACTTCAAGCTATTCTATTTGTTGCACTCACCACAGACATGTGGACAAGCATACCAACAGAGGTCTATATTACGATTACAGCTCACTTTCTTAAAGAACCAATAAACTTTGTTTTTTTGTTACTCTTTTAACCATTACATATGAAAGATTTGTGGTTAGTCTTATGAGGAACACCAAATTTATTCTTTAAAAACTTGTGGTTAATTAATACCGAGCGATTAAAAGTGGCCAAAAAGTCGCCTGCTTCCCTCTCGCCCGCCAACGAAACCACAGACAGGTTACGTAACTCTGTCGCCAGAGCACTGCAGTGACGTCATATGAGGAACGATTTTCAGTTAGTTGTATAGAAAATGTGTAGCACGCTCATTATTTTGATGATTTCTCGACATCAACGACGACATGCCAATCGTTGCTTTGTCGCCAATTGCTCCTAGGGTCGGGCGATGGTGTCCCCATGCACAGATTTCCACAGGACCCCGCAGTTCGTGCTAAATGGGTTATGTTTTGAGTGCGGCTTAGCGTTGTGGAAGCCTGAAACGATATCTTACTTGTGTTCAGATCGCTTCACGGAAGTTAAAGAATCAAAACTACTTACTAGTTGTAGTAAAATATGCATATGATTGATGACCATAAAGATTTTCTATGACACAACTTGTAACATAACGATTTCTTCCCTCGGAAGTGAGATTGTGGTCAAGTAACAATAATATTGTAAGTAGTATTATATTGACACCCACCTCGCTGCCACGAGAAATTGTTATGATATACGCTTATGTCATGCAAAATCCTATTGGCCATCAATAAAATACATATTTTACTACCAGTAGAAAGTAGTGTAGATTTTAGAAACTCGTGAAAACAAACCTAAATACCATTTATCCTCAGACTGGCGGATGTTCCCGACAGGGTGCCGCCATTTTTAAAAATAAAAACATTCTGTTAGAATTAATGAGATTATAGTTTGTTTTCATCAAGTTAGAAAATCAAGACTACTTTCTACTTGTAGTTAAATATGTATTGGAATCATAACCAAACGGATTTTGCATGACACAACTTATAACATAACGATTTCTTCCACGGGGAGCGAGGTGGTGGTCGAAGTCACAATACTGCGCGATAAATTTCTTTCTACATTCCCATGGTTAATGTCCACTCACCAGTATGTAGATACTAGTCAATGTGCGTCTTTAAATCCTTATTATCCTAATTAGTTTATTATCACACTTGTATGCATTTTGAAACTAAATAAAAAGCAGACGATCTGCTGATACTTATAGTGAATTTATAACAGAACTGTAATATCTAGACATTTTATAGTTTGCCAATGTGAATCATAATTCGCACACACACCCTAGTGCATGTTGTCTGTCTCATTACACTTCACGGCGAAAACAATGATTCTGTTGAATGCTACGACAAATGAATAAAAACAAAATGCAAATATTAAAATTAAAACAGATTAAAGTTATAGGAACAATATCAGGCCATTACCTTGTTCGGGGGAATGTATCCGTCTATATCCACAAAACTTTTCCAAATGATGTGTCTTTTAACAGTTTAATATACAAAAAGTGATAAATCTTTTCAGGTATTGGTGTATGGTCTCATTGGTCACCGAAGATAGCCCACCTGGCAACTAATTGCATAATGTCCGCCTTTCTTTAAAAACAGTAATTTAGTTATCCAATAATGGGCAAGCAATCAATGTATTGCCGGATAATCCTTTGAAAGAAGGACGTTGTTTTTACGCAGACACCGACACGACAGAGTGTATTCAGTATAGATTAGTAAATCTACATACATAAACACTACCTTTTGACAATTCAAGCTGTGTAAGATAAAAGTAATTAATCAATCAGCGTGTTATCGGTTAATCCTTTGATCGATGTTTATAATGTTGAATATTTACTCCAGACACAAGAAATGCCAAATGGGAACCTTTGTCGGGTAATCTAAGTGTGTTACCACTAATTATACCTGTTATAAATTCATTAACTGACCATCAAGTGAATGATGACAAATAACATGTGTAGGTTTATACCACCTAACACGGGTTACAACAAGGGTGTATTAATTGCTGTATTGCATGTGAAAACTTATGGGCCGATTAATTGTTTTGAGAATACAAACAGATTTTTTACATGACATGATTAAATATCGAGGTAAAAAAACACAGAAATGGGATCAATTTGGATCAGTCATTATACAAATAGGGCCTAACGACACCAATCGATTTTGACAGACTCGTCTATGCAAACAAGTTGTAACTCGGAAACTAGGCAAAGCAGGAGACAAAATTAAATGACAGTAGATTGTGAGAACATATAGCTTTCATTTTCCACAACAATTGTCACGATTTCAGGTTTATACGAGCCTGTAAACAACATAATTTAACCCCTAAAATGTAGATGAATTCTGCATCGGCCCTCAAAGCTATTCCTCATATGACGGTTACAGAGGCGCGCCGCTCTGATTGGTTGAAATTTCGTTCGCGGGTGAGAATTGTGCACTGTTGTCAAAAAGGTCGATTTAAGTCAATTAAAGGTCGAAATGAGTAGTTTTAATGACGGGGTTTCATTTATAACGATGCCAGTTAGTGATTTATGTATTTGTACCCCCTAGGGTTTATGTGACCTTTAAAACTTAGATGCAACCAACAAAATAAACATAATTAAAACACAATTATCATTTATTCATGACATATAATATACATTACTGATTATGAAAAAACAACAACAAATAAACAAAATTATAAGCATACAATCACTAATCAAAAGTGCAATATTTTGTACTTGGGTTTACTACTGCATGTAAGCTTTAACAATTGGGTACTAAATCGTGTGTGCTTGCCACACGAAGCTTAGAGGAACACCGTACGGGCGGGAATATTGGACAGATTTTAAATTCTGACACATCCAATAGTCCGGAAATATTGTACACATTGGACACAATGCTGTCATGCAAGTAAGTAAATTAGTAGTACATGAAATTCCCTTGACACTGAATCAATCAATGTCATTTTGCATAATGGATTTTATTATTTTATGGTCTTTGATTTTACATTATTATAACAATGGAAAATGTAAGTCTCATGACAATATCAAATCATATTGGGTTGAAATAAGCGTTAACTTGCACGGAACACATTTCATGCCTTAAACTGTAATGGTTTAACAACGTGTATAATACCAACTTCAATATTCATCAACTCAGTAACCCATGCTTGTCGTGATAGGCGGCTAACAGGATCAGGTGGTCAGGCTCGCTTACTGGGCTGACACATGTCATCCTATCAAAATTGTGTAGATTGATGCTCATGTTGCTGATCACTGGATTTTCTGATCCAGACACGATTATGTACAGACCGCCGCCACATGGCTGGAATATTGCAGAATGTGGCGTAAAACTAAATCACTCACTCAGTATTGATCAAACAATCATCATATAGTGTAATGTCATGCCAGTTACGCTATGTTATGCTTGATTTGTATGAATTTTTAAGTCAAGTCTGACCCTTCAAGTACTCGAGGCCAAGAGAATGAACTCGTTGAAGCCCTAAAAGCCCTGTGTGTATCTCCCCACCCAGAGATATCCCTGGAATACTGCTCAAAGCAGCAGTAGAGGTTCATGTGTGACAAACCCTGTCTAATATGTTTTAGAAAAAAGACAAAAGGACTTTGAAAATTTGAACTGATTCGCAGATTATTTGAATTTGTCCAGTGACCCTTCTCTTCCCAAGAGTTGTTTCTTGGATGATACAGTGTTTTGTCAATCTTCGGATTTGGTGTAATATATAATACAAGTGCAATATATACTCATGGAAACAAATAAGGGAACACATGAAAGTACAAGTGTTCCTTTATTTATTCCCAGAATTTCACCCACAGTGCAATACAAACCTTGTGAAGAAACCTGGAAAAGCATAAAGGAACACTTGTACTTTAATGTGTTCCCTTATTCGTTTCCATGAGTATATAAAACCTTTGAAGAATAGGTTTGTTGAATGTTTAAGGTTGCCCTGTTCTCAGTCAGTTGTGTGTGATTCAAGGTATCTGCAGGGAGGGTATTGTTGCAGATGTTTCCATGAGTATATAAAACACTTGAAGAATAGGTTTGTTGAATGTTTAAGGTTGCCCTGTTCTCAGTCAGTTGTGTGTGATTCAAGGTATCTGCAGGGAGGGTATTGTTGCAGATGTTTCCATGAGTATATAAAACACTTGAAGAATAGGTTTGTTGAATGTTTAAGGTTGCCCTGTTCTCAGTCAGTTGTGTGTGATTCAAGGTATCTGCAGGGAGGGTATTGTTGCAGATGTTTCCATGAGTATATAAAACACTTGAAGAATAGGTTTGTTGAATGTTTAAGGTTGCCCTGTTCTCAGTCAGTTGTGTGTGATTCAAGGTATCTGCAGGGAGGGTATTGTTGCAGATGTTTCCATGAGTATATAAAACACTTGAAGAATAGGTTTGTTGAATGTTTAAGGTTGCCCTGTTCTCAGTCAGTTGTGTGTGATTCAAGGTATCTGCAGGGAGGGTATTGTTGCAGATGTTTCCATGAGTATATAAAACACTTGAAGAATAGGTTTGTTGAATGTTTAAGGTTGCCCTGTTCTCAGTCAGTTGTGTGTGATTCAAGGTATCTGCAGGGAGGGTATTGTTGCAGATGTTTCCATGAGTATATAAAACACTTGAAGAATAGGTTTGTTGAATGTTTAAGGCTGCCCTGTTCTCAGTCAGTTGTGTGTGATTCAAGGTATCTGCAGGGAGGGTATTGTTGCAGATGTTTCCAAGGAGAGTATATAAAACACTTGAAGAATAGGTTTGTTGAATGTTTAAGGTTGCCCTGTTCTCAGTCAGTTGTTTGTGATTCAAGGTATCTGCAGGAGGGTATTGCTGCAGATGTTCTCCATGAGTATATAAAACAATTTGAAGAATAGGTTTGTTGAATGTTTAAGGTTGCCCTGTTCTCAGTCAGTTGTGTGTGATTCAAGGTATCTGCAGGGAGGGTATTGTTGCAGATGTTTCCATGAGTATATAAAACACTTGAAGAATAGGTTTGTTGAATGTTTAAGGTTGCCCTGTTCTCAGTCAGTTGTGTGTGATCCAAGGTATCTGCAGGAGGGTATTGTTGCAGATGTTTCCATGAGTATATAAAACACTTGAAGAATAGGTTTGTTGAATGTTTAAGGTTGCCCTGTTCTCAGTCAGTTGTGTGTGATTCAAGGCATCTGCAGGGGAGGGTATTGTTGCAGATGTTTCCATGAGTATATAAAACACTTGAAGAATAGGTTTGTTGAATGTTTAAGGTTGCCCTGTTCTCAGTCAGTTGTGTGTGATTCAAGGTATCTGCAGGGAGGGTATTGTTGCAGATGTTTCCATGAGTATATAAAACACTTGAAGAATAGGTTTGTTGAATGTTTAAGGTTGTCCTGTTCTCAGTCAGTTGTGTGTGATTCAAGGTATCTGCAGGGAGGGTATTGTTGCAGATGTTTCCATGAGTATATAAAACACTTGAAGAATAGGTTTGTTGAATGTTTAAGGTTGTCCTGTTCTCAGTCAGTTGTGTGTGATTCAAGGTATCTGCAGGGAGGGTATTGTTGCAGATGTTTCCATGAGTATATAAAACCTTTGAAGAATAGGTTTGTTGAATGTTTAAGGTTGTCCTGTTCTCAGTCAGTTGTGTGTGATTCAAGGTATCTGCAGGGAGGGTATTGTTGCAGATGTTTCCATGAGTATATAAAACACTTGAAGAATAGGTTTGTTGAATGTTTAAGGTTGTCCTGTTCTCAGTCAGTTGTGTGTGATTCAAGGTATCTGCAGGGAGGGTATTGTTGCAGATGTTTCCATGAGTATATAAAACACTTGAAGAATAGGTTTGTTGAATGTTTAAGGTTGTCCTGTTCTCAGTCAGTTGTGTGTGATTCAAGGTATCTGCAGGGAGGGTATTGTTGCAGATGTTTCCATGAGTATATAAAACCTTTGAAGAATAGGTTTGTTGAATGTTTAAGGTTGTCCTGTTCTCAGTCAGTTTGTGTGTGATCAAAGGCTATATCTGCAGGGAGGGTATTGTTGCAGATGTTTCCATGAGTATATAAAACACTTGAAGAATAGGTTTGTTGAATGTTTAAGGTTGTCCTGTTCTCAGTCAGTTGTGTGTGATTCAAGGTATCTCTGCAGGGAGGGTATTGTTGCAGATGTTTCCATGAGTATATAAAACACTTGAAGAATAGGTTTGTTGAATGTTTAAGGTTGTCCTGTTCTCAGTCAGTTGTGTGTGATTCAAGGTATCTGCAGGGAGGGTATTGTTGCAGATGTTTCCATGAGTATATAAAACACTTGAAGAATAGGTTTGTTGAATGTTTAAGGTTGTCCTGTTCTCAGTCAGTTGTGTGTGATTCAAGGTATCTGCAGGGAGGGTGTTGTTGCAGATGTTTCCATGAGTATATAAAACACTTGAAGAATAGGTTTGTTGAATGTTTAAGGTTGTCCTGTTCTCAGTCAGTTGTGTGTGATTCAAGGTATCTGCAGGGAGAGTGTTGTTGCAGATGTTTCCATGAGTATATAAAACCTTTGAAGAATAGGTTTGTTGAATGTTTAAGGTTGCCCTGTTCTCAGTCAGTTGTGTGTGATTCAAGGTATCTGCAGGGAGGGTGTTGTTGCAGATGTGCAGGTTTCTGTTCACCAGCGTGTGGATCTCATGCAATGTGTTATTCCTGAAAACCTAATGGTGTGCAGTATTTCCTTTGTCTGACAGATTGAGCGTGTACAGACCAAGTTCCTGTGGCAGCAGTATGTTGCGAAGAAACAACAGTTGGACTCACAAAACACAGGTCATCAGAATGAGACTGTGTTGTGGCATGGCACTGCTGTAGACGCCATTCCCAGTATCTGTAGAGGTGGCTTTAACCGCAGCTACTGTGGAAAGAATGGTAAGTTCTATCTTGGTGGTGATTTGCGACATGATTAAGCTACATATGCTTTATTCTCACCTCTCCTGAATACAAGCTTCAGATGTGCTTCATGTGGAACAGGGGCCGTGGGGTAGCCTAATGGTTAAAGCGTCGGCTCGTCACACTGACGACCCGGGTTAGAATCCCCACATGAGCACATTGTGTAAAGCCCATTTATGGTGTCCACCGCTGTGATATTGCTGGAACAAAAGCGGTGTGAAACCCAACTCAATCACTCATGTGGAACAAAGCCTGTAGTCATTCTCCCTATCCAAATTTCTGTCCATCTGCCTGTTACTACTGGAACATTTTCTTAGTATTTCATGAATTTAAGACATGAAACACATGGACTGTGCAGAAACTTTACATGGATGAAAGCAGTGGGTGAGTATGGCAGTGTCACTGTAGGGGGGCATCAGAAATAGAATGGGAAATGGAATGATAGCAGCAATGGCCTCCAAAAACTTCCTAACAGTATTATCTTTGCCCGGATTTACGCTTGCTTTCGTTTGTCCATGGCCATCACTACTTGTCATCCCCTGTTAATCACCCAGCTCTCTTATCTTGTCACTTTTGTTGTTCTTCCCATGGCCTTTCGTGTCTGTCTGTCTGTGATGATTTTGTTTCTGTAGCTTAACTCAAAAAACGCTCTATAATGTTATGTTATTGTTTCGTGAGAAAACTCAACAGTTATACTTGTGTACAGATAGACACATTAGACAGAAATTCTCTCATGAAGCTGGACTTTAAGTAACTGTCAGATGATTTGTTTGTTCAAATTTTAAAGTACCTGGGGGTGATTTGTCATGTTCTGATCACTCCTGGTTTCAATGAATGTAGCTATCTGCTATATATACCCTGACACGTCATGCTCCTCTATTACGAAAGTTGACATCAATAAAATCTTCCCTGGTTATATTATATCTGCATAATGAATGTTTCTCTTTGTTCAGCCACTGCACTAGGAGAGGGTGTATACTTTGCAGTTCAGGCTGCATATTCAGACAGAAATACCTACTCTGTGCCTGACGGACAAGGTCGCAAGCACATGTTTCAAGCCCGTGTGCTGACAGGTATGTACTGTCGAGGACAAAGCGGGATGAGAGTACCTCCACAAAGAGATCCATCCAAGCACATCCAGTTTGATTCTGTGGTGGACAATGCCAATGGACCTGGAATGTACATCATCTTTAATGATACCCAGGCCTATCCAGAATATCTTATCACTTACCAGTGAAGTCAATGTCCTTTCTTTCAAATGGTATTTAATGAAAGTCTTTTGTCACTTTGTGAGCTGTGACGTAGATGTAGAGATACATTCAGATTCATGGTTTCTTGTTTAAATCAGTTATCATTTAGAATTGTTCTTGTGATCATATTATTTTGGAGGTACCTGATGGCTTGTAATTAACATGATTGGGGTCTGTCAGTTGGTTAGATTGTAACCTCCTTCAGATCTTTAAGTGAAGGGATGATGCCATATTTTGAAACAATATCCAATGTATTGTGTTTTATTAACTTATGGATTCTTTGATTACACAATGCCATTTAGAAAGTGGTTAATTGTAAAATATGTTATATTTGGGATTACACTTTCTTTGTAAAGTACCGATTCTAGTACTTTTTGGGTTGAGTCAGACTCAGGCATCGAACCACGGCTGACTTTGTGCGCTGGCGATTAGGTACCTGACTCTGAGGGTGCGGGTTCGAATCCCATATGGGACTCAACCCAGAAAGTACTAGAATCTGTACTTTACTTAGAAAGTGCAATCCCAAATATAACATGCTATGTTATGGATTCTTGGTAAGAATTGGACCCTAGTACAACACCAGGCAATGGTACTTGTGATATTTTTGTCTTGCTCATCATTGGATTGTTTGTTGCAGGCTCAGGTGCTTAAAGATGCTATCGTGCACCTAGATTTAATATTACTGAGTACAGTATTAACCACCAAAGTAGCATCAGCTGTTGCAGAAATTCTTATATTCATGAGCACTCATCAGTTTTAGTGTAATGTTTTCCTTTGAGTAGAGAATCTGAATTAAATCTTTCTTCTTCGGGTATGTTACGGTATCATCCATTATGTTCAGCCATTACAAATTAAAGCTATTTAAAATTGCTGCATGTTATAGCTTGTAACATCATTTTTAGATGAACTGCCATAGAAACTTTCAGATAAGTTTCAACATTTTAAATGGATATGAATTGTTTGTAGGAATGTGCATTTGATATAGTGTTGGCTTTGTAGCCAGGCATGTTGCATGTTGTCAACTTAGATCATGTATGCATGAACAGGCTTCTATCAACAATATTGAGTTACCAGTATGTCTATTTATCCAGAAATACCATTGCCAAAAGATGAAAAGAATATTCATTATATGGGTGGCCAGATATGCAACAATTGTACAATAAAGCTTATCCGTGCTGTTCTCCTGTAATTGTATCATGAGAAGTAGAAGTGTTATGCATGTCTCCAGGATCACAGTGTGTGGTACTTTTACATTTGAGTATACTAGACACGCATACATTTGACACTCAAATATTTACATGCATGCAGTTAATAGATGGAACTCATATTAAAATACATGCATTTAACAATTAAGTCATGTTAACATGCATACAGTTGACAGGTGGAACTTGTGTTAACATGTATACAGTTAACAGATGGAGCTCATGTTAACATGCATATAATTAACAGATGGAGCTCATGTCAACATGCATACAAGTAACCAATGGAGCTCATGTCAACATGCATACAATTAACAGATGAAGCTCATGTCAACATGAATACAATTAACAGATGGAGCTCATGTCAACATGCATACAATTAACCAATGGAGCTCATGTTAACATGCATACAATTAACAGATGGAGCTCATGTCAACATGCATACAATTAATAGATGACACTTATGTCAACATGCATACAATTAACAGATGACACTCATGTCAACATGCATACAGTTAACAGATGGAGATCATGTCAACATGCATACAATTAACCAATGGAGCTCATGTTAACATGCATACAATTAACAGATGGAGCTCATGTCAACATGCATACAATTAACAGATGGAGCTCATGTCAACATGCATACAATTAACAGATGGAGCTCATGTCAACATGTATACAATTAACAGATGGAGCTCATGTCAACATGCATACAATTAACAGATGGAGCTCAGTCAACATGAATACAATTAACAGATGACACTCATGTCAACATGCATACAATTAACAGATGGAGCTCATGTCAACATGCATACAATTAACAGATGGAGCTCATGTCAACATGCATACAATTAACAGATGGAGCTCATGTCAACATGCATACAATTAACAGATGGAGCTCATGTCAACATGCATACAATTAACAGATGGAGCTCATGTTAACATGAATACAATTAACAGATGGAGCTCATGTCAACATGCATACAATTAACAGATGGAGCTCATGTCAACATGCATACAATTAACAGATGGAGCTCATGTCAACATGCATACAATTAACAGATGGAGCTCATGTCAACATGCATACAATTAACAGATGGAGCTCATGTTAACATGAATACAATTAACAGATGGAGCTCATGTCAACATGCATACAATTAACAGATGGAGCTCAGTCAACATGCATACAATTCACAGATGGAGCTCAGTCAACATGCATACAATTAACAGATGGAGCTCAGTCAACATACATACAATTAACAGATGGAGCTCATGTTAACATGAATACAATTAACAGATGGAGCTCAGTCAACATGCATACAATTAACAGATGGAGCCCATGTCAACATGCATACAATTAACAGATGACACTCATGTCAACATGCATACAATTAACAGATGGAGCTCATGTCAACATGAATACAATTAACAGATGGAGCTCATGTCAACATACATACAATTAACAGATGGAGCTCATGTCAACATACATACAATTAACAGATGGAGCTCAGTCAACATACATACAATTAACAGATGGAGCTCATGTCAACATATAACAATTAACCAATGGAGCTCATGTTAACATGCATACAATTAACAGATGGAGCTCAGTCAACATGCATACAATTAACAGATGGAGCTCATGTTAACATGAATACAATTAACAGATGGAGCTCAGTCAACATGCATACAATTAACAGATGGAGCTCATGTCAACATGCATACAATTAACAGATGACACTCATGTCAACATGCATACAATTAACAGATGGAGCTCATGTCAACATGAATACAATTAACAGATGGAGCTCATGTCAACATGCATACAATTAACCAATGGAGCTCATGTCAACATGCATACAATTAACAGATGACGCTCATGTCAACATGCATACAATTAACAGATGACACTCATGTCAACATGCATACAATTAACAGATGACACTCATGTCAACATGCATACAATTAACAGATGGAGCTCATGTCAACATGAATACAATTAACAGATGGAGCTCATGTCAACATGCATACAATTAACCAATGGAGCTCATGTTAACATGCATACAATTAACAGATGGAGCTCATGTCAACATGCATACAATTAATAGATGACACTTATGTCAACATGCATACAATTAACAGATGGAGCTCATGTCAACATGCATACAATTAACAGATGGAAGCTCATGTCAACATGCATACAGGTAACAGATGGAGCTCATGTCAACATGCATACAGTTAACAGATGGAGCTCATGTCAACATGCATACAGTTAACAGATGACACTCATGTCAACATGCATACAATTAACAGATGGAGCTCATGTCAACATGCATACAATGAACAGATGACACTCATGCCAACATGCATACAATTAACAGATGGAGCTCATGTCAACATGCATACAATTAACAGATGGAGCTCATGTGAACATGCATACAATTAACAGATGACACTCATGTCAACATGCATACAATTAACAAATGACACTCATGTCAACATGCATACAGTTACCAGGTTGAGCTCATGTCAACATGCATACAGTTAACAGATGACACTCATGTCAACATGCATACAATTAACAGATGACACTCATGTCAACATGCATACAATTAACAGATGACACTCATGTCAACATGCATACAATTAACAGATGACACTCATGTCAACATGCATACAATTAACAGATGGAGCTCATGTCAACATGCATACAATTAACAGATGGAGCTCATGTCAACATGCATACAATTAACAGATGACTCTCATGTCAACATGCATACAATTAACAGATGACACTCATGTCAACATGCATACAGTTAACAGATGACACTCATGTCAACATGCATACAGTTAACAGATGGAGCTCATGTCAACATGCATACAATTAACAGATGACACTTATGTCAACATGCATACAATTAACAGATGACACTCATGTCAACATGCATACAATTAACAGATGACACTCATGTCAACATGCATACAATTAACAGATGTAACTTCAGTTAACATGCATAGAGTTAACAGATTACACTCATTAAAATGAATACAGTTAGCATATTACACTCATGTAAACATGCATACAGTTAACAGATAATTATCATGTAAACATGCATACAGTTAACAGATGACACCTATATATATATAAACATCCATACAGTTACCAGGTTGAGCTCATGTAAACATGCATACAGTCAACAGACTTATGGTAACATGCATACAATTATCAGAGCAAACCCATCTTAATAAGCATACAATTAACGCATATATTATGATGGAATAACTAGCATTACAATTGTGTAGAGCTTATAAATAATAGATATCAGATATTTGTTGATGGGAAATACAGCTTTACGGTCATGTTTGTTACTGGTTTTCACAACAAATATCTGTGAAAAATTGAAAAATCAGTGAGTTGGATGATATGACTTTGAGTGGCAAAAATCTGCTTCAGCAGTACATCATAACAAAAGTGTTCATCTGGAGATGATCTTCTGTACCTAAATCATTGATCTGTGATACAAGAGATCAGAGGTGCAACTCCACTGATCTCCACATACTGAGTTGTATGTTTATATGTTTCTAATTATAGTAACATTTAAAGTTTTGTTCAAACAATTAGTGTCTGCATTAACTCCAGTTTCTGTAATGGATATGATTCTGACACTTCATTCCCTTATTTCCACATGAAAAATTCTATGATATAATTTTTGTCATGTCATTTTATAAGGTAGAGTTTCAAACTACAGTGAAACCTGCCAACACCAGCACCTGTCTAATCTGGCACACTGTCCAAACCGGTGTAACAGGCCAAACTTCCCCCTGGCCAAACCTTCCCCGGGGAAACTTTAGCCTAGGCTGAACTTTCCCCACCCGTGATCAACTTTAAGGCTACATCTTTCCTACCCTTGTTCTTATACCAAAAGGGGGAGATTCTGGCCTAGCTAGGCTATTTCTTCCCCAACCTTGTTTTCATGTTTATGTTAGTCTTGAAAAAATCAGAAAGGAAAACAAGACATAGCTATTCACGTGGACACATTGATGAGATATTCATGTTGATGCTAAGTTTCATTAACAATTTACAGGTCATCTTCATCTCCATATATAACATTTACATGGTTCCCATTTTGTTTCAATACCCTTCTATAAGGTGAGATTAAAAAGAAAAGCAAACATAAAAGCAAAGATATTATATCATTACTATTGTTCTATATTATCATTTACTTATATAGATATTTCAATAATTTACTTATCCCCACTTACTCAAAATTGGCTTATGTCAAAATCATTACTATATTCAAAACTGTAACTAAATACCCAGTTTTTACTTGGATGTCCATATCGATTCAAAATTTTATTCCCTCACTAATGGCTTTAAATATGGCATCCATGTCGGCGACATCAACTTAACAGTTGGAAGCAGATGTAAACATAAAAAAAAAATGGACTATTTAGCAAAAAAGTGTACCAACATGTAAGTCGGTTTATATTGCATGGGTGGGGAAGAAGTAGCCTGGCTAAGCCAAAATCACCCCCTTTTGATATAAGAACAAGGATGGGGAAGAAGTAGTCTGGCTAGGCCAGAATCACCCCCTTTTGATATAAGAGCAAGGGTGGGGAATAAATAGCCTAGCTAGGCCAGAATCACCCCCTTTTGATATAAGAGCAAGGGTCACAGGAAGAAGTAGTCTGGCTAGGCCAGAATCACCCCCTTTTGATATAAGAGCAAGGGTGGTGAAGAAGTAGCCTAGCTAGGACAGAATCACCTCCTTTTGATATAAGAGCAAGGGTGGGGAAGAAGTAGCCTAGCTAGGACAGAATCACCCCCTTTTGATATAAGAACAAGGGTGGTGAAGAAGTAGCCTAGCTAGGCCAGAATCACCCCCTTTTGATATAAGAACAAGGATGGGGAAGAAGTAGTCTGGCTAGGCCAGAATCTCCCCCTTTTGATATAAGAGCAAGGGTGGTGAAGAAGTAGCCTAGCTAGGACAGAATCACCCCCTTTTGATATAAGAGCAAGGGTGGGGAAGAAGTAGCCTAGCTAGGCCAGAATCTCCCCCTTTTGAAGGGGGGGAACTTTAGCCTAGCCCAAACGTTCCCCAGGGAAAGTTCAGACCGGGGAAGAAATGGCCTGCTACACCGGCATAAAATTTTGGTCCCTACATTTTACAACGATATTATGATCATTAAAACATTGTCTAATTTGGCACCTGTCTATTCCGTATTCTGGCACGACTTTCCGGTCCCAAAAAGCGATTAACACTGTCTACACCGGCATGGGTATGAGCAATCCAATCAAGGACCCATAATCCAATACACTAATACCGGTTTAGACAGGTTTCACTGTAGATGTAATATTTTCAACTTATGTTATTT